TTAAAATGAAGACGGGGAATTGAGGCGGAGACTGGAAAACTTGCCCTTTTTTTGGAGATAATTGGAAGAGTTCGGTCGGGATCCCACGAACTTTCGACCAGAAACCTCCCGTACTGTTTACCTCATGCGCCCTAGTTCTATCCCCCTTCGACCTCACCTCAAGATGGGACCCTACGCCTCACACTTCCTCCCCACCCCGCCCTCTCGCTCCAGCGTTGCAGAACAACAGCCACATTACTGAGGTCCTCCGGGAAAGAACCAAACCCCACTGTTGGGCGCTTCAATCCTCCTTCCGGTGCCGGTATGGTAGGGGAAGGAGAGACCCTGCCGCCTCGGGGGCCAATCTTTCCATTCAGTGTGTGTCTCCTCCCTTCCCCACGTTCCCGGGTAGGAGCTGACACGGGAGTGGGAGGAGCCGAGTGCCAGTTCTTGCTGGGAGAGGCTAAAACTTGTTAAGGTGGATCAGAACTGTTGAGTGCCTGGGCCTCAAAAACAACTGGAATGTCAAATCTTCCTGCCTCCCAACCTTGCTCCCTGTAGTTTCTCATCTCTATTTCCCTAGCCTTAGTTTACTTCCTTATTTTTTAGGGCGAATAGACAGGTTAGGTAAAAGACATAAAATTATGTAGGAAAGTTTTTACAGATTATGCAAAGAACTTTTCCTTTAGAATTTAGTCTCTTCTGTTTTCTGTTCTTTTCTCCCGAGATTACCTTTTAACGTAGCAGCAGGAATTTTTCTGATGTGTCAATGCGAGGTCAAATTTTGCTTGATACATGTGCGTAAATGAATCGTTTGTATGTTGGTTTAGTCTCCCCCGCCCCACCAGATCTGACTACAACCATTAATGGAAGCAAGAACCCTGTATCTAGTGGCTGTGGTTTACCTCCTACTCCCTTTACCGCTGGTGCCCTGGCAAGCTGGAAGAGTGTAGGTGGTACATTGCATGGCCTTGCAGTGTTGACTCTTTGATTCAGTTTTCTCATTTGTAAATGGGGATAATAATACTTTCTCATGGGTTTAGTTTGAGTACTAAAAGATACAGTGTAGGTGAAAGAACCTTGCAGTTTGAAAGGTGGAAATAAACATAAGGTAACATGCATACAAAGCTTATAATAATAGTAAACACATAGTCCATACTATGTTCCAGACACTTTTTTTTTACAGTATTTTCTTTAAACTTTATTTTGCAAAATTTCAAATACATACAAAAGTAGTATTTTAAAACCCCATGCTATAATATCAACACCTGGCTAATCTTTTCACCTATACCCCATACTCCAACCCATAGGTGATTATTTTGAAGCAAATTTCAGGTACTTCATCCCTAAATACTTTAGTATGCATCTCTAAAAGATAAAGATTTAAAAAAAATAAAATACAATGCCATTAACACTCTTAAAACCTAACAATAATTCCTTAATCACCAAGTCACTATGTTGAAATTTCTCCAATTGTCTTGTAGTATTTTTTCCAGTTGCTTTGTTCAAATCAGGATCCCCTAAAAGGTTCATATATATTGCATTTGGTTGATATGTCTATTAAGCTTCTTTTAATCTCCAGGTTCCTTCTCTCTCAGACACTTATTTAAGTGCATTACTGTATAAAGCCATATAACCCCCCACAACAGTGAAGTAGGTACTGTTATTACTGATGAGGAAACTGAGACAGAGCAGTTAAATGACTTACCCAAGGTTGCCCAACCTGGGATTTGGATCCATGTAGGCTGTACTTTTATCCACTACATTATGTTTCATATAATAAATGCTATAAAAATATGTATTGTAGCATATTATTGTTGTTGTTAAGTGCCGGAGTCGGTTCCAACTCATAGCGACCCTATGTACAACAGAATGATGCCTGGTCATTCTGGTGCCTGGTCCTGCACCAATATTATGAAGAATAGTTTTGCTTAAGGTAGACTAATACTCATGAAGAATTTTATGTTCCATTATAGAAAACGTGGATTCTTATATTTTGATTCATTGCATGTTTCAATGTCAATATTTTTACCCTGCTCCATATCACCATCCTTAATAGAAAGTAAAGGGAAAATGAATGTAAATGCTTCCCTCTATCTTAGGGCAAAACCAAACCAAACCATCCTTATCAATTATTTCTGATTTTAAAAATTATATAGGTGAAACCCATACAAGCACTGATTATCAATAAAGTAGAAAATGAAATAAATAAAATCATCTTTAATCTCACATGTTTGGTGCATATCCATTTATACATTTGTGTAATGTATATGAAAAAGCAACTATATATAAACTGTTTTTTAATATTTTCTCACTTGAATATATTCATATATATGAAAAAATTGAGTCTTTAAAATAATGCATGGTTATTGCAAAACATCTAAATGGTAAAGAGGATATATAAAAAGAAAAACAACTCAATTCTGCCTTTCAGAATTAAATACAATTACTCTTTCAAAAGTTAATAATATTATATAGCTGTACCGTAATTGATTTAACAGTTACCCTACTACGGATATTTAGGTTGTTTCTAATTTTCTAGCTATAAATAATGCTGTAGCAAATATCTTGTATGTATCAAATAAATTCTTGAGCTTTTTATTTTTCCAAATCTCCAGGAAAGGATTCTGATTCTTCCCTAGATTTCCTATTGTACATAGTAAATGCCAAAAAGAGTTGAAAAATGAAACAACAAAGCATCCAACACATAGCAAGAAACACTTGCTGCCAAATAATTTTTCTGTAATAGCACATGGGAGAGTGAATGAATGCCTCAAAGAGAGGGAAAAATACAGCTTTAAATCTGGAAGGATATTGGGAGGGTCATAAGGAAGAAAAGGCTCAGTTGGGCTTTACTGCCTTTAAGTTTGAGGATGACTTGACTCTGCCAGCTCCAGTCAATGGTATAGAGGTTAATAAGAACTGGGCCTTTGGAGCCATTTGAATTTAAGCCCTGGCTCTGCTACTTATTAATAGTTTTCTCACTTGTAAAATAGGTGTAATTATGCAAAAGCTAGACAATGAATAAGGAAGATCAAAGAAGAATTGATGCATTCGAATTATGATGTTGGTGAAGAATACTGACTATACCATGGACAGCCAGAAGAACGAACAAATCTGTTTTGGAAGAAGTACAGCCAGATTGCTTCTTAGAAGCAAGGATGGCAAGACTTCGTCTCACATACCTTGGACATGTTATCAGGAGGGACCAGTCCCTGGAGAAGGACATCATGCTTGGTAAACTGGAGGGTCAGCAAAAAAGAGGAAGACCCTCAGTGAGATGGATTGACACTGTGGCTGCAACAATGGGCTGAAACATAGCAACGATTGTGAGGATGGCTCAGGACGGGGCAGTGTTTCATTCTGTTGTACATGGGGTCGCTATCAGTTGGAACCGATTCAACCACACCTAACAGCACAACATGGTATTGCTAGGAGCCCTGGTGGCGCAGTGTTTAAGCACTTGGCTGCTAACTGAAAGGTTGGTGGTTCGAACCCACCAGCCACTCTGGGGGATAAAGATGTGGCAGTTTGGCTTCCTTAAAGATTTACAGCCTTGGAAACCCTATGGGGCAGTTCTACTCTGTCCTATAGGGTCACTATGAGTTGGAATCAACTTGACTCTACAGGGTTATTTTGGTTTTTTTCTTGAGGGGGGAGTGTGATGGTATTGCAAAAATAATTAAATGTGACAATGCATGCAAAGTGCTTAGCTCAATGTCTAGTGCATTGTAAATATGTGATTATAAGATATGCATATAACAAATAAAATACAGTATTATATACTTAGCCAAAAGACAAAAGATTTTACTGTCTAAAGGTGAAATTCAGTCATTCAGCTATAATCTTGAATATGAAGTCTTTCTTTGAACAAGGATATTTTTGCTTTCATGTTATTTTATTGATATAAAGTGGTTGGAGAAAAGTTTAACAGGCAGAGGATGGAATATATAAGGATTTGCAGAGGAATAAAAAGACTCTAGGAGGAAAACTAGATGTGGGCCGTTAGTTTTGTTTTTGGGTGGGGATTATTCTGTACAGGTATGCGTGGAGCTATGAGAACATTCTATACTTTGTGATACTATGGATGGGGTATGTTAAAGGCTTGTCAAGTGAACTGAACGATAGTCATATTTTGTATCCTTTGTATATTGTACAGTTTAAAAAGCATTTTTACATAAATTCCCTCATCTCATCCTTGCGACAGACTTATTGGGTAGGCAGGACGAGTATCACGGTCCCCTCTTCGCTAACCAAGATTTTAGAGAAAAAATGATCTACACAAAGTTTACAAAACTGAAATAAGGAATAGGACTCAGATCTTCTGATGTTATAGCCAGCGTTTTCTCCATTAGACGCTCATTTATCCCTTTACGCATTCACGAGTTCGGCAAGCCTTTACGGAACTCCAGGATGCTATCAGGGTAACATATTAACTTCGCTCTCCCCATAACCCTATATAAGCTGTTTTTTTTTGGCGGGTGGGGGGGTCGGAAGTCCCTCAAACACATTCCTGAGGAAACTTCTAGGGATGTTCATCTGTAGAGAGAATACAGTAGAACCCACAAAAAAAAGATCAGAGTACCAGAGTTACGGGTTCTGTAAACTGGAATCAGTGACAGTTTAGGGCACGCTGTGCATTAAGGGAATCTCCTGGTGGAGACCAGTGGGCTATCATCTTGGGTAGATGGCGAGCTGCTCGGAGCAAAGCGGCATAATGGTGGCGGGAGGTGAGTGAGGGGCGAAACGTGCCCCCATGGGCTGCAGGCTGCGGGTTGCGCAGCGGCGTCTTCTCCTGGGGGCGTAAGTGTGGCTGCGCGGCTGTGCCTGCGGAGCGCACACCCGGGTGTTGTGGCCCGCGTCTCGGCGCCGCCCGGCTCCTCCTTAACCCGCGCCAGGAGGCGGTGGCGGCGGCGGCCGGGCGGGCGGGGGAGGGGGAGGGGCACGGAGTGCGGAGCGGAGGCCGGGGAGGAGCCGGGGCCTGCAGCGGAGCCGAGCAGAGCCCGAGCCGAGCCCTGAGACGGTCCGTCCACCTTCTGGCTCCCTGGGAGCCCCGACTGGCCGGAGCCCGAGAGGTGGCAGCGCGGGGAGCCCCGCGCGCCGAAGCGAGCGGACCTGACGGGACGGGACTAGAGGAGGCGCTGCCGCCACAGTAGCCAGTACCGGGAGTCGGGAGCTCCGGCCTCCCGGACGCTACTGCCCAGGCCAGCTCAGGGACAGCGGGGAGTAAGAAAACCCCACCCTCTGGGGCACCCCCAGAGCGGAGGCGGCAGCAGGGACGGGAGCATCCCCCTCCTCCTGTTGGAGAGAAGACCCCTATCACTCGGGCGGGAAAAAGAAGATACCCCTATAGGGGACGCGCCTCTCCTTCCTAGAAGCGAGGAAAATCCCCATACTGGCCCAGGAGGAGAGCCCTAAAAGTAGAAAGGGGTGATCCTTCGTAAAGGAAGCAGAGTGAGACCATCCCAGCGTGCCTTTACTCTTCCAAACACACACTCTGAGCAGTTCAGGAGTTTTGAGGCAAAGAGAAAGAGGGATAATATGCCTATGGAGTAGACACCTTCCATCCTATCCAAGTACTCACAGAGGAAAGGAGTCTTAACAAGCAGAAGCAGAGGACACTCCAGGGAAAGAAGAAGAATCGGCTTCCAGCCATTCAGGAGAGGGGAAGACCTTCCCCCTCAACTTCCTTGTACCTAGACAGTGGAACAGGGCAGAGCCCCTCCGCTCAGATCTCCAGCAGAGAGAAAGAGTCCTCCACCGCCGAAAGATCCAGTTTGGGGGGGAGGGGGACTCCCCCAAGGGGGAGGAGACAACTCCTGGTTGGGAGAGGCTCCTCCCCTTCTCTGTAGTGTAACAGGCAAGGTGTGGGGGGTGTGCCACCTTCCCCAGGTAGGACCTCCTTCTCCTCCTCCTCCCCCTCTTCCTCCTGCCTCCTCTTCTCGTCCTCTGGGGACCCAGTTTCCCTCCCCAGCTTGGGAGGCTCAGCCAAGTACCGGAAGAGCCACTGAGGATGAGACCCATCATCTGCCTCTGAAGAGGGGAATCCCTCCAACCCCACACTCCAGTACCAAGTGGTTCCCTCCCTTTGCTGGGGGAACCTTGGAGACAGGTTAGTGCTTTCTTCCATCTTCTTTCTGTCATCTTTAGGCACTGGTGGGTGTAGGGGGCTGAAGTGATGGCTGTTGGGTTTCACTGCTGGGAAGGATGGAGTGATAACTCAGACCATCCTCTGGGAACTATGTTTGAGGAAGCTTTTGGATTAGAATTCACATCTAGCTGCAGAGACTCTGAGAAATGGGTTTCTTAGTGTTTGAGGACTAAAGGGATGGAATTCTTTTGAGGTCCCTAGGGAAGTGGATGTTTTCATGCTGAGGGCAGAGATGTCAGAAAACGGCTGCATTTTCAGAACTTCGTGCTTATTGTATATAATGATTGACACATCCCCACCAGACTCCCACACCACCCTCCATCCTTGGCCTTTTCACTCTGAGAGTGGGCCTCACTAAACTCATGGTGCATCTTATGTCCTGGCCTTGTCCAGGGCCTCCACTGAATTACATTTTCTTACCTGTAACCCTAGGTCAGCTTAACATCCACCAGAGCTGTTCTCTCCAACCCATGGTGATTGGGTTGACAAGAAAGGCAGTCTGCCCCTGCTCACCCTTTCTCAAAAACCAAGAGGCCTCCTCTCATATAACATTCACATTTCTGGCTGGGTGCATGCCTCTGCCCATAAAATCCAAAAGGAAAATGGACATCCTACAGTCCCGAGGTGAGAAGACTAAAAGAGTAGAGGGGATGCCAGCTCCAGGTTGAAATTCTTCCCTGATGCTGGCTTTGTATCACTGCCCCAGTGCCTCACAGGGCTTCTGTTCTGGACAGAAAGAGAAGAATGTTACTGCCCCAGCTTCCTTCCAGTCTTCCATCTAAATAAGCTGACCGCCAAAGAGATTTGGAGATTTAACCTCTGAGGAGCCTTTTATATTAGAGATTCCCTTGAGAAAAGCACCTAATAATCTCATTTTCTCCCTTCCTGTTTCTTGTTCAGCTCTGAGTCCCTGGAACCTTGTATTTAACTTTTCTCTGGTAAGATAGGAATAGGAATCATCACAGTCAAGAATTTGCCAAAAAAGTAGAAAAACGGGCTAGGAAATCCCTCTAGCTGAGCCCAGGCTATGAACCCGGTTCCTTCCAATTTGAACCCCTGGTGATAACTTGCACTTCTAACAAGTCCTGGGGTGATGCTAATGCTGCTGGTTAGGGACCGATTCTGAGAATCACTGGTAGAGCAGTGGTTCTCAAAATTTATTACACATAAGAATCACCTGGGGATCTTGTTAAAATGTAGGTTCTGGCTCAGTATATCTGGGATGGAAATGTAAATTCTCAGCAGGGGTTCAAAGCCCTGGGTTTTCGTAGATCCCTGCCTTTCGATCTAGCTGGGTGCTTGCCTTCTTGCCTTGCCATTAGAAAATACCTTATCTTCTGCAGGGAGAGTTATATCCCACAGCAAGGCCAAGTGGGAAGTTTCACTTTACTTGAGCTTTTATGTTTCCTCCTCCTCCCTCTGTCTGGACCATGGTCAGGCTGACGAAGAACCTAAGTACATCCACTTGGTCCTGGAATCTACCTGTTAGTAGTGGTATATGAGACAGGGTTATAATGTGCAGGTTTGTATGGCTGTGGTATAGAACAGTGTGCATATGTTTCTCAGTTCAAGTGTCTGTGGCTCTGTCTCTGTGTTTGGAGGGGGTATGTGTGCAGAAACAGGTATATGTATGCTTTTCCAACCAAGCCTCCAATTAGCTAGAACTGTATGTTTCCAATAGGCCTCTAGAAGCAGGTTCCCCTGTGCCAGGACCTGGAGAAGATGCCAGTAAGGATGTCCACCTTGGGGAGAGGTTTGGTCTCCCCTTGGCCAGTGGGAGTGCTCATGAATGGCAGTTCGATAGTCATCCTGAGCAGCAGGGCAGCCAAGCCTCAGGCTGGGACCACTTCTTCTAGGGCTAATAAGAGAGCTTTATTTCTGATGCCTCTTATCTCAAAAGGCCCTTCACTCCAGAACCTCCTTCCCTGCCTTTTAAAGGAGCTAGCCTTGGTGTAACAGCAGCCTATTTCTTAAAATGTGCTTTACCAGATGCTGGAATGCAATTTCTTGAATGGCTCAGGGTGAACTGTATCACCACACCTCCAGGCCCTGCTTGGGCTGATTTTCCCCAGCTCTCTTTGCCGCTATGGAACCAGAAGCAGGTGGCTATTGGGTTGGGTTAACTGTGACTTAGAGAGTGCTGTTTTTCGGACCATGTCTTATGACAGGACCTAGTTCCCTTTGAAAGATAAGAGGTGATATTCCCCCATTCCTTCATACTTAGAGTTTTTCTGGTCCTGGCGTTGGTCAGTACTGGGGTGATATTATCATCAAAGGAAAAGTTTGAGATTCTGATGTCCTGAAAACCATTGCAGACTCCATGCAGGCTTTGCAATGAAGAAACTAAGACACAGAGGGGTTAAGTAACTTGCCTGAGGTTACACAGCCAGTAGGTAGTGGAGCCAGAATTGAAACCAAGGCAGCCTGAGTCCTCATGTGGTTCACTTAAAAAAAAAAAAAAAAAAAAACCCATTGCCATCGAGTCAATTCTGACTCATAGTGACCCTATGGGACAGAGTAGAACTGCCCCATAGGGTTTCCAAGGAGCTGCTGGTGGATTCGAACTGCTGAACTTTTGGTTAGCAGCCGAACGCTTAACAACACTGTGCCACCAGGCCTCCGTGGTTCACTTAGCCACTGCCATATTAGTTTTGGCATTGTATACAAGTCAGGAAGTTATCACTCCTTAATACCTGACCTTGACACCTTATGGAAAACAATTACTGGCCTTTCAGATAAAATGAAAAGAAAATTGTGCTTGTTATTTTGAATCTTAGACATCTTATCCAGGATCTGTGTTCCACTCCAACAGAATGCCTTTCTGTCTAATTTCTCTGTCTTCCTCCCAGCACTGTAGTCTTCATTAGGTGTCCTGTGGGTGTGATGGAGCCTGCCCTTTGGCTGCCTTTCCCAGTTTCTTATGGGTATTTCCTTTCAGTCTTCCAACACGCAGAGAATGTGGCCTGACTCAGGTTCTGCCGAGCCCAGTGGCATGAGGCCCACCTGCAGAGAGGTCTGAGTAACTAGATTGGTTGGGCTGAGAAATGGAAGTACCTCTTGTTTGTCCTTCTAATAATAGCCATGAACATTAGCCTCATGCCATTATTTTGGGGAGCATGGAATGTGTGGCAGCCACTAGCTCATTAAACCTCCATTCACTTCCCTCTGGGGATGAAGCTTTGGCAGGAGTTTTGACTTCATCCCTTTTTATTGAAGGGGGAAACTGAGGCATCAAGACTTCAGGGAACAAGGGGTGGTTAGGGACAGTGACTCAGTGTCAGGGTTGGGAATAGAACTGAGGAACCTCAATCTCTGAGGCTGTACATGTTGGGCTGCCCTTCAGGAATGGGGAAGTAAAGGGGGTGAGGAAGTGTGATGGGTCAAAGGAGAATGGTGCCGAAAGATCTGAAGGATCAGACTGCCATAAGCTTCTTGAAGCTGGTAAGATTGGAATATACTTTGAGTTCTAAGGCAATATCTGGAGGGTTGACCTGGAGGGTGCTGGAGAACGGCAGAATTTAACCTTAGTGCCCTAACTCAGAAGGAGCCCTGGTGGCAGAATGATTAAGCATTTGGTTGCTAACCGAAAGGTTGGTGGTTAGAACCCACCAGTTGCTCCTTGTAAAGATTGCAGCCTTGGAAGTGCTGTGGGGACAGTTCTACCCTGTCCTATAGGGTTGCTATGAGTCAGAATCAACTTGACAGCAACGGGTTTGGTTTGTTTGGTTTTGGCCCTAACCTATTAAGAGTAGGGATGGGCATAGAACAACTAGCAAAAAGCTAAGAGGGCTTCCCTTTCGGGAATTCATGGTAATTGGTGTGTGCCAAATGGGTCCTGTTAGCCCTCTAAACATTTCAAATTCATTACGATGCCCCTGTCCCATGTTGAGAGAGTTTCAGAGAAAGTATTCATGATGGCTTCTGTGTCCTTCAGGTGAGCTTTCCTGGGGATCTTTACGCAGGGATAAGAAGGAATAGTTTAAAGCTTCTTTACAACCTCTTCTTCTTGGGAGGACCCAGGAAAACTCTGATCATTGAAAACCTGCTCACTGGCATTTTCCTGTTCAGCTGGGATAACCAGCTACAGGACCATGATACTGCCATAAGTGCACAGCTAGACCCCAGAGGTTGTGGTGTTTTGACTTAGTAAAGTGCTAGGTCTGAGGCTTTTGGAGTAATTAAATGTCCCTATTAGTTTCCAAGTTTCCATGGTTTAGGGCAAGGTGGGGGTAGTGGGGAGAGGAGGTAAGGATAAAGGGAAAACCCCTTCATGATGCTATTTTTAAAAATGGCTTTTTTTCCCTTTTCCTGTGAAGCAATTCGTGGGTTGCAACTGGGTCTCTTGCTGTCCAGCCCTCTGGGGCACTAAGATGTTTCCTTCAGCATTGTGGAGTGGGTGTGTTGCTGGTGAGGAACACAGGACAGGGTACATGTGTGTACTTGCGAAGATTGTGAGGGTGGGGACCTTGGGGGAATTAGTCCAAATGCTGACCCTTAGGAGAAAGGGGTAAGTGTCCTGGGGAGAAGAATCGTTAACTAGGATGGAAGAGTGAGCTGATAGCCTGAAAGATACGTTGGGGTCAGGAGAAAGAGGAGGCAGTTCTATCTGGGACTGAGCTTTTAACTTCTAACTGCAAAGTGTGTGGATTTGTGTGTACATGTATGTGTATGCGTGTGCATATATGTGGATGTGGATTTAGAGATTATATACATAAATATGTTTCTGCCCAGGATTGTGAACTCTGAGGTATTATAGCCCTGGCTCCTCAAGAGAAATGCCCTGGTGGGACGGTCAGCAGGGGTACTGAGGAAGAAGTGCCACAGGAATCTGGAGGGTGTGCAGGCACAAACCTGTTAGGGAGCAAGTGCTTAGGGGGTTGCTGACATCAGCTCGATATGGGTGCCAAATGGCTACCAAGTGGTTCCTGCCAGCCTTTCTAGACCCTGCAGTCCAGATATCACCCATCATTCTTCACCTTCCCCCTCCAAGATGTCACTCTAGCTACACCTCTCTGCCAGCAAGAGTGCCCAGGCTGTGTGGGTGGCGGCAGGGTGTGCAAACATCAGGCGTGGGCGGTCTGGCAGCGCCAGGAGTTTGCCTGGAGGTGCAGCGAGCGTGCATGCGTGCCTGGTTGGGAAGGAAGGAGGGAGGAGGAAGGCAGGAGAAGGGAGTCAGCTCTTAGCCCCAGAGTGGCTATTTTTAGCCAGGCTATCTGATTGTTACCGGTGCTCACACAGCTGGGTGTCTCCTTGGCTCTGTGAAGCCCAGCATGCTGAGAGGTGGGAGGTCCTTGCTGATGACTTCTTCCTGGTGTTGGTGTCTGTGGGCGGGAGCAAGCAAGGGGTAGCTTTAAAGGTGTGAGGGCAGCTGTGTGCTCAGGATCTGTTACCTCCGTGTGTGACATTGTGCTCTGTTGGTAATGTATGCTATATATCTGATTGTGACTGTGTATGTGGCCCACTGTTTATGTGTATGTCTTGTATCTGTCGTTTGCTGGTTATCATATATAATTTATGCTTGGGATATAGCTAATATGCCTCACGTGCCCATGGGTGTGTGATAAAAAGAGCAAGTGCTCATAATATAGAACCCTTCAGCTGCTCTGCAGGAGAATAATGTGGCAGTCTGCTTCCATAAGGATTTACAGCCTTGGAAACCCTACAGGGCAGTTGTACTCTGTCCTACAGGGTCACTATGAGTCGGAATTGACTTGACAGCAGTGTTTTTTTTTTTTTTTTTAAATATAAGACCGCTTTAAAAGGGTTGGTGTGTGCTGTATTAGTATATATTTGTGTCTATTCAGACAGTTTTTATGTACATGTACACTTGTGAGATTTACATGTGGATGTTATATGTAAATATGATAACAAGCTTCACATAATCGGAGGATAGACCTTGGCTAATTTTACCTGGTATCTAAGTGTTTTTATATTACATACACATATGTATATATATATGCATATATACACACACATATACATACGTATATACACACACCACTATATGTATATGGAGTCCCTAGGTGGCACAAATGGTTCAGCACTTGACTACTAACCAAAAGGTTGGAGGTTCAAACCCACCCAGGCATGCCTCAGAAGAAAGTCCTGGTAATCTTCCTCTGAAAAATCACAGCCTTGCAAACTCTATGGAGAGCAGTTCTACTCTGCAATACATACGGTCACCATGGGTCAGAATCGACTCAATGGCAACTAGTTGGTGTTATACATGTCTATATATATTTTATAGAATACATACATTCTATATTAGATACAGTTTGAAAATATTATGTTGTAGGGCTATAAGTAAGGAGAATTGAGGGAATAGCTCAATCTGGTGGGTGATTTGATCTCTCCTTTAGTCCTGCATGAAGGGAGAGGCCCCTTGGCTGTGTTTTGCATTGGAAAAGTAGGATAAATACTAGTCCATCATCTGGTAGATGATTGGCAATATATCAGATTCAGTGGGGGTGGGGGAGGGTGGTTCTGGGAACACCTGGCTAAGGGTTGTCCCATAAGAGGAGTCTCCTACAGGAATTTTGGTGAGAAGAAAGTCTACTTCTCTTAAAGGACTAGGATTCGAGTATTACTTGTCTCCAGAACCAGAGATAACACTTACCTATTCTATTTCCCTCTCCCCTTTGTCCTCTTCTTTGCAGAACCCAGAAGTGCCATGGCTTCTGACCTAGAGAGTAGCCTCACCTCCATAGACTGGCTCCCCCAGCTGACCCTCCGAGCTACCATTGAGAAGCTAGGGAGTGCCTCCCAGGCTGGGCCTCCTGGGGTCAGCCGCAAATGCCCACCAGGCTCACCCACAGATCCCAATGCTACCCTGAGCAAAGACGAAGCGGCTGTCCACCAGGATGGCAAACCACGATACAGCTATGCTACCCTCATCACCTACGCCATCAACTCCTCTCCAGCCAAGAAGATGACCCTCAGTGAGATTTACCGCTGGATCTGTGATAACTTCCCCTATTACAAGAATGCTGGCATTGGCTGGAAGGTACGATTACTTCTATAACCTGGGATTATTTTTAGCGTTCAACACCATTTTCTCTACTTTCATTTCTTCGTATAACCTAGTCCAGTTCACCCTGACCTGTCTCAAAGATGGGTGCACTTAAAATCTCATATCGCCCATGTCCTACTTTTTTTTCAGAGGTGAATAGTTTTCATAAGCTATGTCAGGGAAACTCTAGTGATGCCAAGCCACTAAGTATAGTTATGGGGATGGCAGGATACTATTGCTCATCATACCCTCTTATCTTCTGATTGCTCAAAAAGGATATTCATTCATTTCACAAATATTTACTGCCACTCTATTGTGTTCAAGTCACTGTGCAGGGCATGACATTGCTCGCTCCTACCTAGAGGTAGGAATCTCATCAGATTTGCGTAGCCTCATTGCACATAGTCATCATCTTTTGAAAAAATAATATAATTACGTCCTTTACCAACAGCTGATCTACCATGCAAGTAATGATGGGGTAAGTTGTTCGATTACTGGTGAAGGAAGAAGGGGGCTCTTCTTCCAGCAAAGAAGGAAGACTGATGCTATCAGTCTTTTGAAGCCACAACTCATTTGCCAGTTGTTGAGTGGGACTGGGGATTTAATGTAGTTCTCTCATTCTGGAAATCACCAGTTGACATACAAACCAGATGATGAGCATTCACCACTTGAGAGCATTCAGCTTTTCCTTTGTAAATACGCCTTTACCAGCTACCACAATCCCTACATATACATAACAATATTTCTTTCCTCCAAATGTGACCATTCTGTGAGCTGTGGAGATAACAAAGGTGATCTGTGCCCTTGTTTCCCTCATAATTTATAAGCAGTTTTAAAACATTATTCCTTTTTGCTACAGATAGGGCGAATTGAGGAACTGTGCAGATGTGATTTTGAGGCATTGATTTACCTGTTGTCAGTTGGGTGGAAAGGTTGAAAAATGATATCATCAGCTTTACAGAAGCACCTGGTAATCAAATCTGTAGTCATTACCTCTTACCAATTTAATTTCTACATTTTTCTTGTATCATTGCTCTTGCTATCTGTCTTAGTTATCTAGTGCTGCTATAACAGAAATACCACAAGTGGGTGTCTTTAACAAACAGAAATTTATTTTCTCATGGTTTAGGAGGCTAGAAGTCTGAATTCAGGGTGCCAGCTCTGGGGGATGGCTTTCTCTCTCTGTCGACTCTGGAGAAGGGTCTTTCTCTCTCCTGAGCTTCTGCTCCTGGGCAGTCTTCGTGTGGTTTGGCATCTCTCTTCCCCCAGCTCTGCTGGCTGGTTTAATCTGTTTATATCTCAAAAGAGATTGGACTCAAGATATACCCCACACTAATCATGCCTCATTAGCATAGCAAAGACAACCCATTCCCAAATGGGATTATAACCACAGGCATAGAGGTTAGGGTTTACAACACATATTTTTGGGAGACACAATTCAATCCGTAACACCATCTGATAGGTAATCTCTTCCATCAGTATAGTTAAGAGGTGCTAAGTTTACCCTGATACTTGAACTTTATTGTGTAGTGTGTTTTTTGACCCTCTGTGTCCTATTGGAAAGTTTTCTGATTTGCACAATGCTCAGATCTATCTTACTTCTCTGCTTCTCCAGAATTCAATTCGACACAACCTTTCTCTCAACAAGTGTTTCCGGAAGGTGCCCAGACCTCGAGATGACCCTGGGAAGGTGAGAGGCTGCTGCAAGTGTTGAAGGGAGGAGCAGGAAAGGAGAAAAGTAGTTCACAGCCCAGAGTCGTGTGGCTGTTTTAATTACCCAGAAGAGGAAATCATGTTAATGAGAGAAGCAGCATCATTTTTTCTTAAAGGAAGAGTTTGGTTGTCAAACTTGGGGGTGCCTACTAGAATGATTGACTAAGGAACACTGAAATCTTTTTTTTTTTTTAAAAGAAATATTTACGATAAGGTTAACTTTGATGCCTCCACCCCTTTTTTATGTGGCACTGTTTTTAGATGTAGAGAGATGGACTTAATAACCTTTGTAGAGACTTTTCTCGTTAAAATTTCCATGATTTTTTACCTCAAAACCATCAGGAGGGAGAAGAGCTGGATCATTCTCCCCCTTTGACAGATGTGGATGCTAAAGTCCAAGAAGGTAATCCCTTAGGCCACAAAGGAAAAGAAGGGTCGTATCTGGACTTTTCCAGCTCTTTGAGTTAGATACCACTGTTCTGCCCCTCCAGAACAACTGAGGCCTGCATTGGACCACAGGGTACCTCTGACATACTCAATGAGCTTTTAAGACAAACTTCCTCTTCAACAATAGCCCATGCCCTGGGGAGTCTCTGCAAATCTCCAGTCATTTTTCTTTACATGACTTATTTTATGTGTGAAGTGAAACTTTCTACTTTCCCAAAGGCAGGCACTTCGATATGTAATGATTCTGTGGGGATGGGCTCTCCTTCCAGGGCTCTTATTGGACAATCGACACCTGCCCGGACATCTCCCGGAAGAGAAGACATCCTCCAGATGAAGATGTAAGTTTCCACTTCATGAGAGGGTACCATTTCTGAACCAGTTGCTCCTTTTACCTCCTTTCCTATATTTTCAGTTCTTTCCTATATTTTTGGTAAAGAAGGAATGCCAGCAGAGGTGAGCCATGGATACTGGGAGGATATTTAACCTCTGCTTATAGATTTCTCTTCCTTCACAACCCTCAGCTCTCCCAAGACTCACCAGAACAGGAGGCAAGCAAGAGCCCACGGGGAGGCGTTCCAGGGAGTGGAGAAGTCTCGCTGCCTCCCGAGGGGAATCCTCAGATGTCACTTCAGAGCCCCGCACCTATCGCCAGCTACAGCCAGGTAGGAAGCAGAAGTGGCGTAAAGATGGATGGTTGGGTAGATGGTTGAATAGATTCATATATCTCCCTGTTCAGAATTATTTACTGATTATCTGTGAATATGTCAGGCAGATAAATTAGGAACGAAGGGTAAACCAAGAGAGGGAAACCAAGGGAGAGAGAGAAAGACATAACAGAACTTTGAGAAAGATCAGAAAAAAAAAAAAAAACTAGTAAAAAAGAAAGAATGGGAGCTAAAAGGTTATGAGAAGGGAAAGAAGGGCATGAAGGTAGCATAGGGAAGTGGTATTTAAAGAAGAAATGGAGAATGATGGGAGAAAGAGGCTAGATCAAGATAAGAACCAATGAGAAAATAATGCGGGATCATTGAAGAGGTAGAAGGAGAGGGTGAAGAGCATAGGCAGGAGAGTTTGGTGACAGTGAGGAGTTGTATTGGTCCCTCAGTTAAGACACACATCAGGTCTTTCTTACCTCTTTTTGTAGGGCACAGGATCTGTGGATGGTGGAACAGTGGCAATAGGGGCTCCAGGCCGAGAGAGTGCTGAGGGTCCCCCTCCCCTCTATAACACCAACCATGACTTCAAATTCTCCTACTCAGAGATCAACTTTCAGGATCTAAGCTGGTCCTTCCGAAACCTCTACAAATCCATGCTGGAGAAGTCGTCTTCCTCCTCTCAGCATGGTGAGTCTGGAGTTGGGAGCATGGATATCCTTGCATTTTTGGACAAGTAGTGACATTCTCTTCTCTCTTATTTTTGACACAAGGAGAGATTGATAGCTGGTCAGAGAATCATGTCTTAAACTAAAATTGTTTGGAGGTGAGCTCTTCTGGCTTAGTTCTGGAGAACAGCTGTTTCAGGAGACAGACTGGGTTATTAGCTTCAGAAAGTGAGTTGGAGGAACCTCCCTTCTAGAACTAAGGGCAGTGATTTTATGGCTGCGAGGAAGTAATTTAGAAGATGGCCACTAGGAGTCAGCAGTAGTATTCTCTCCCCAAGAATCCCTTTGTTTCAGTGTGAGAACAATTTACTTTTCTTTTTTAGCATATGTTATGTTACATTTTATGACAATTTTCAAACAGATGCAAAAGTAGAGGGAATAGTATAAGAAACCCACATGTACCCATGAGTCAGAATCAACTCGATGGCAATAGGTACCCATCGCCGAACTTTAACAATTACCAATATTTTGTTCAACTAATTTACCCATCAACAGTTTTTTTTAACTGGAATACTTTAAAGCATTTCCTAGACAGCATGTCATTCCACCCACAAATACTATTTCAGGATGCATCTCTAAATGATGAAGAGTTTTCTTTTAGCTATCCACCATCCCATTATTACTCCTAACACGATTAATTATACTATTTTAATATCAGCTAATATTCTGTCCACCTTCACATTTCCCTAATTATTGTGTGAGAATGATTTAAAGTCCTTATTGAGAGGCTTCTTTTTTTTTTTTTAATAAATTTATTTTATTTTTGTTGTTGTTGAGAATATGTGCAGCAGTACATACACCAACTCAACAATTTCTACATATACAATTCAGTGACACCGATTACTTTCTTCGAGTTGTGCAACCATTCTTATCCTCCTTTTGCAAGTGGTTCCTCCCCTATTAACATGAACTGACTGCCTCCTAAATTTCTTATCTAATCTTTTGAGTTGTTATTGTCAGTTTGATCCACTATAGATAGATCTTGAAAGAGCACAATGCTCAAGGCAGACATTCTTTACTAGTTAAGCTAAATTACTGTTTGATTTTAAGAAGACTTTGAGGGATATTTTTGGTTTAAGGTTTAAAGACTGTCTCAGGGCAATAGTTTCAGGGGATCATCCCGCCTCCATGACTCCAGAAAATCTGGATTCCATGAGAATTTGAAATTCTATTCTGCATTTTCCCCTTTTTGATCAGGATTCTTTTATAGAAACTTTGATCAAAATGTCCAATAATGGTAGCCAGGCACCATCCAGTTTTTCTGGTCTCATGGCAAAATTGGGAAGCTTTGTGAAAGATTATTGGGTTCAGCCCTGGGGAATTCCTGTGTGTGTGTGTGTTTTAAAGAAATTAGAGGTAGACATTTTTGCTCTGTGCAATGGAAGCTGAATGGAATACTTAAACTGTGGTTAGGAGTCATTTTTTTAAAAAACTTGTATTAATTGTCATGGGTCTCTTCCCTTACATTCCAGGGCGTCAGCATCTAGAGTTGTGTTTCAAGATGGTAGCATTTGCTTGAGAAATGAATCCAACTCAGGCAGTTGGTTGATTGGAGGTGGAAAAGTGACTATCAGAAATAATGTAAAAAGCAGGGCTTTGAACCAGTTCATTCATGGCCGATGAAGTGAAATTGGAACAGATCCGAATTGTTTAAAATTTGGGTGATCTGGATGATAACCAGAAAGGAAAAAATTATGGGTCAAAGCCTGGAATGGGAGACTCGAAGAAACATAGTGAGCCCTTTCAGGAACCTGCTGCAGGAGATTGGATTATTGCCATGACTGTGGAGAGCGACACACATTCAAAGCTGTGCGGTCAGCCACCATCTTTGAGTGGGACACAGCTGTTTCCGACTCGACTCTGCCAGTCAGGAGATTTGGTTGCTATGCACCGTGCACACTGCCTTTGTTTTCTAAGAGGAAGATTAAGTTTCTAACAGGGCTTTGACCTGTAATTTTTCCCATTCTGGTTATCTTTCCAGTTTACCCACATTTCAAAAATTCGGGCCCTTTCGGGTTTCGATTCATCAGCCATGACTGAACTGGACAGAACCATTTCAAAGTCCGGGTAAAATGGTAGATTGAGTGAGGACACCAAAGTGTTCACTCAAGTGCAGTTGCTACTGAGAGCCCCTGGGCTCGCTAGAGAGTTCTTCCTTACACAGTCTGCTTGAGAAATGAATCCATCCTTACTCTGCTCCTCACCCAAGCTCCATCTGATGGTAGTGCATAGAAGAAGGTGATAAGGGTAGAGTGTGTAGAGACAGTAAGGAAGAGGAGAGAATAGATGCCCAGTAGCTTTTTTTTATTTATAATTTACTTTTTACTTGCAATTTGATTTCTTTTGGAACTGTGCATCCAGGCCTACACTAAAATTCCTGAAAAGTAGCATAAAGAGGTACATGCTGACCTTGTTACTGAAATTTCAATAGTCACCACACTGTTAAGGCCCTCATCCAACCTAACTGCTTTCCTGTCTGTTGTACCTGCCAGGAGGGCCAGGGGGATCCTTACTGTCCCATAGCACCCTTATCCTTCTGACTCTGCAGTTTCTGTCTGAGGCCTGCCATTTCAACCCAGTGAGAATCTCGTTTAGTGAAAAAGGTTTTGCCCATGTCATATGCCTACTTCCTTCCTACCCTGCAGGCTTTTCGACTCTCCTGGGGGACATGCCACCCTCTAACAACTACTACATATACCAGCAGCAGCAGCCACCACCTCAGCAACAGCCACAGCAGCAGCAGCAGCAGCAGCAGCAGCAGCAGCAGCAGCAGCAGCAGCAGCCACCACAGCCAACTCCTCAACAATCACAGCCACAGCAGCAGCAGCCATCAGCCCAGGGCCCCTCAACTGTAAGGGGTGCTCCCCCACTGCACACCCCAAGCCCAGATGGTTGTACCCCACCAGGGGGGAAGCAAGCTGGAGCTGAAGGCTATGGGCCTCCCCCAGTGATGGCCATGCACCCACCCCCACTGCAGCATGGAGGCTATCACCCTCATCAGCACCATCCCCACTCCCACCCTGCCCAGCAGCCACCACCACCACAGCAACAGGCACAAGGCCAGGCTCCTATCAACAGTGCTGGCTTTGGTGAGTAAGGGGGGTGGGGTGGGGCAAAATGAAATGGCCCTCTTGTTCTGACTCTGGCATGTACGTGCACTAGGTTGGGAAGTTACTAGTGGACATCTAGATACTGATATCCTGGAATGTAAGGGTCTTTTAGCCTCGTTCCCCCATGACAGCTCATCTTAGTGAATGCAAGTTGCTACTTAGAGCCCTATATTATAGAATTCTCGGTCAAATTGGGGTTGTTTTACATATTCTGCCTATGGGCTGGACTGTACCTAAAGCACGTTGTTGTTGGTAGTTGCCGTCGTGTTGATTCCAACTCATGGTGACCCGGTGTGTGCAGAGTAGAGCTGCTCCATAGGGTATTCAAGGCTGTAACCTTTTGGAAGCAGATCGCCAGGCCTGTCTTCCAAGGAGCCTCTGAGTGGGTTAGAACCACTGACATTTCAGCTGGTGTTCGAGCACTTAACCATTTGCTTCAGCATGGGTAACTTTCTCTATCTAAATCTCTACCAGTTGCTGTCAAGTCAGTTCTGATTCAGGGTGACCCCATGTGTGTCAAAGTAGAGCTGTGCTTCATAGTGTCTTCTTTCTTTCTTTTTTTAAATAATTTATTTTATTTTTGTTGTTAATGTTGTTGAGAATATCTCCATAGGATTTTCAATGGCTGATTTTTTTAGAAGTAAATCACCAGGCCTTTCTTCTGAGGTGCCTCTGGGTGGACTCGAACCTCCAACCGTTTGGTTAGCAGCTGAGTGTATTAACCGTTTACACCACCCAGGGAGGGAGATCCCAAAATTATCTTGAGAATGCATTGGTACCTGTGTAGATGCAGGAATCTTGCATGTAGTCAGTTGCTTTGTCTTACACTTCACTCTATCTTGTTACCCACTTTCCCCTCCTCTGTCAGCATTTCCTCCTGACTGGTGCTCCAATATCGACTCCTTGAAAGAAAGCTTCAAGATGGTGAATCGGCTCAATTGGTCCAGCATTGAGCAGTCACAGTTCTCAGGTTAGTGATTAAAGGATGATATATGGAGAGAAGAGGGATACACGGTAAGTGGAAAAACCCAATAGAAGCTATAAACAGAAGGGGATGGTTAAGTGAAGTTTGGAGACTGAGGATTTCATTGTTTCCCTCCGTATTATATAAAACCAAAAAACCAAACCCATTGCCACTGAGTCAATTTCGACTCATGGTGACCCTATAAGACAGAGTAGAACTGCCCCATAGGGTCTCCAAGGAGTGGCTGGTGGATTCAAACTGCCAACCTTTTGGTTAGCAGCTGAGCTCTGAACCACTGTAGTATTCATATTATTTGTAAATTAATTTAAATTAATTTTGCGTTAACTTAAAATATGGCAGTGGTTTATCCTTGTCAATATTATCTTTGGGAAAGGGGAAGCTCTCCAGGTTTTAGAGACCATTGGTTCTGTGTTGTTAGCTGCTGTCGAGTCAGCCTCCAACTCATGGCAACCTCATGTACGACAGGATCAGACTGTCATGATCCATAGAGTTTTCACTGACTGAGTTTTTGGAAGTAGATCATCAAGTCTTTCTTCCTCATCAGTCTTAGTCTGGTAGCTGTGCTGAAACCAGTTCAGCATTATAGCGGCACGCAAGCTTCTGCTGACAGACAAGCGGTGCGTTTGAGGTACATTAGCTGGGAATCGAACCCGGGTCTCCCTCATGGAAGGCGAAAGTTCTACTACTGAACCACCACTGCCCCTGTGTTTCAATGTCGGGACCACTATTTTCTACCCTTTACTGACAGTGTGACTGGCTAATTCACTCAGTATCTTGGAAATTTTGTTTATTCATCAATCAGATAGAAATAAGAAGAAGAATTTAGTAAGGAGCAGATAGAATGAGAATTTAGAAATGTAGAGCTCTAAAAAATGTAAATTATTATTATGGCTAACACATATTGTTAGCGGTACTGGTTTATGATGTGTTTGGGACAGTGAACTAGGGATACGTCTCCTAGGGGTTTTGGTGCCTCTGCAGGGTTAGCATTGATTGCCTTCCTGTTGTAGAACTCATGGAGAGCCTGCGACAGGCAGAGCAGAAGAACTGGAGCCTCGACCAGCATCATATTGCCAATCTCTGTGACTCTCTCAACCACTTCCTTACCCAGACTGGTCATGTGCCCCCACAAGGGGGCTCCCATCGGCCACCAGCCTCTGCCCGAATTGCTGACTCTTGTGCCCTCACCAGTGGCAAGCAGGAGTCAGCCATGAACCAAGGTACTGCACAAAGCAAGTTGCCAAGGAGCTAGAGACTGTGATGAAAAGGGAGGGGGTAGGAGAAGGGCAAAAGAGAATCGAGAAAAATCATTTCATGGGCAATGATGATCCAAACTGAACAGTGGTGATAGTTTGTCAGCCCTGTCAACTGAACATCTATTGTATCAGTAAAGTCCTATACTAAAAAATACAAAAGAAATAGACCCTAAGACTTCTTTTTAGAACTGGATTTGGAAGAGCAGACTTATTTTAGAAAGGGGAAGCGTTTTGTTAGGGAAAGTTCCTACTCTAAATTTGTGTCAAAGTAACCCCACCTGGATTGTATCAGGTGGGGTGATGATTCTTTACATTTATACGATCTTCTAACCAGTGACGTGAGAGGCATTTGATGATGATGTTTCTGTATCCGCCATCCTTCTACTATCTTTGATATTTCACAATTCTAGTATCCAGTCACTTCATACCCTAAGTGGTAAGAGGGATGATAGCTTCTGCAGAAGGCCTTCAGGGCAAGCAAGGGAGAAAGACATTAAGGGGAGGAAGGGTACATTTTTTTCCTCTCCATTGGGACCCACTCAAGTTACTCCTGTCTTGCTTTGGCAGTGAACTCTTATGGGCACCCACAAGCCCCCCACCTCTACCCTGGCCCGTCACCAATGTACCCAATCCCCACCCAGGAGTCAGCGGGATACAATCGCCCAGGTAAGAGCCAGGAAGCTTGTTCACCCCTGGCCCCAGCACTCTCTTCTCAGACGAGTTGTTTCACTTTCCTCTGGCCCTGAGCCTACATTCTTTGACCCTCTGCTGGCACCAGCCAGCAGTGGGCAGGCCTTCATGATTCCCAAGGCTGGCCGGGGGCCACCTGCTAGGGACGTATATACCAGTGGAGAAGTAAAAAGGACAGGTTTATGTTAAAATTAACTTGTATCTGTGATAACGAAAGGAAATGAAAGCATAAATATAAGCAAAGTATATAAAATGAAGAACATTCATGTCTAGCTTTGGAATTAGATGGCAGATATACTCAGGCAAATAAAATTAATTTGTTACACAGACCTACCTGCTTTGTGCTAGTGTCTGTTTTCGGGTCACTTGACATCTAGTATCAGGGGTCTGGGATCTGGCTACTCTGTTAGGGGAAGTAGGGGGCCCTAAGTTGCCATAAATAGTACAGAATGAACAGATCCTTCACATTTGAATACTTTTTAGAAAAATAACTAGCACAGTTGTTAAAGTACTTGACTGCTAACCAAAAGATCAGCGGTTCGAACCCACCAGCTGGTCCACATGAGAAGTGGCAGTCTGCTTCCGTACAGATTTGTAGCCTTGGAAACCCCGTAGAGCAGTTCTGCTGTGTCCTATAAGGTCGCTATGAGTTGGAACCGACTCCGTGGCAACAGGTTGTTTTGGTTTATTATTTTACCTAACTACAGGTGTTTTCAGTTTTTTGGGTTAACAGCTGACTCCTTGTCCATGTATTCCTTGCCATATAATATAAATGAAAATTTATGTATTGCTATTTCATATTTTAAAGCATCTGTAGGTTTTTCATCATTATTACATAGTCTTCATAAATAACGGCTGTTAAATTTTATATACCAAAACCACTGCCACGTGATCGATTCCAACTCATAGGAACCCTGTAGGACAAAGTAGAACTGCCCCATGAGGTTTCCAAGGCTGTAATCTTTACGAAAGCAGACTGCCGTATCTTTCTCCTGCAGAATGGCTGGTGGGTTCAAACGGCCAGCCTTCTGATTAGCAGCCAAGAGCTTTAACCACTGCACCAAATTTTACATAGTCTTCATAAATGTAATTGTGGCTGCCTAATATCTTATTGCCATGTGACAGTTGACTCTAATTTACTTCCTGAGAACTCACTGAAATGGTGGCCTGCAACAAAAATAACCCTGGGGTGGTAAGGACGAAAATTTTGCAAGTGCTTCTTCGTGGTATTATTTGGTCCCTAGCACTGTCCATCTGGATTGATGGACTAGGTTCCCATCCACACTCCTTTTAATTTCTCCTTTTCTTCCTGACAGCACACCATATGGTCCCTCGGCCACCGGTCCCACCTCCTGGTGCCAACGAGGAGATCCCTGATGACTTCGACTGGGACTTGATCACTTAGTGCATCCTCGAGTGTGGACATCAGCCCAGAGCTGGGTGGTGAAGTCTGGCAATGGGGAAAAAGCAGCCCCAGCCCACCCCTTCCCCCTGCCTGTATATAGATATGTATCCTCTTTTTTTTTTCTTTCTGTGTCAGAGAAGCCACTGCAAGATGCTGCCGAAGATAACCCCTTTCTTGTCTCATTCTTCGCTCTTCCTTCCCATTATTTCATAATTCTTTTATTATTATTATTATTGGTTATATGCTGTCGCCAGTCTCCTGTCCCTACACCATGGACCATGTCCACCCCATGCTAATTTAAAATCACCAGGCTAGAAGGTGAGGCCATGATGGCTGTAGAGAAAGGTTACAAACCCTGATTTACCTTTCTCTTTGAGAACTTCAATTCTAGTCCCACCTTTTGGCCCTAAGTTGTTTTCTCTTCATATCAGTTTCAGTCCAGGACTGGAGAGGCCACATTTTCAAGTAGACGGGGTCTAAAACACTGCTTGGAAGTCATGAATTTGCAGGTTTTACTCAATGGTGCTAATTCTGTCCTCTGAGCTCTTCCCTGTCCCTTCGTACCTTCAATCCTTACTTCTGACAATCCTCATTCCCCATTAAGGGTAAGGGCGCTGATGGTGGTGGTGGAGGGTAACAATAAAATCCTAGCAGAATGAAAGGGCTAGGTTGGGTCCAGTAGAATACTGTAGGAGGGTAATGGAATATAAATCGGTCTAAACTTGGGTGTATACTGCCATGTGAAATAAGCTTCCATTGGCTTATTCCTAGCCCTTTTTTCAATAGGTAGTAGGGTTGGTTTTAGCCAGAACACTGCTTCTATGGTAGGGTATGAGGACAACTAGTCAGTGTAGGTTTAGCTTCTTAGAGACAGTTTCAACTTAATCATTTTGGCTTTTTGACAGCAATTTTCTCTTAAAATTAACTGTGGCTCTTACTTGCATTTACAAATTGACATCCTTTCATCTCCCTTTCCCACTCAACAGATACTATTTTTTTCTTCAGTTGTTTGGACAAATATTCCACCCGTCCGTTTTTCTTTCCCTGTTTCCTGAGATTCTCCAGAAAGAAAAAGTAACCCATTATCACTCTGAGTTTCGTCATGTCCTAAGACATGATGGGGATCTCCTTATCACCTCTCATAGTTGAATCAAACCTATAGTATTTGTGGTAGGAGTGTGGGGAGAGGAAAAGGGAGCTGGCAGAGACACGAGTAGGGAATATTTTGGTTATTTAACTATCTCGGCAAATGCTTGTCTTGGAATCCAGTTCATGTAGGGCTGAAGCTTTTGTAGTTAGGCTTTTGGGTGTGAAGGAAATTGGCAGATGGGAGTAGATAATCAAGAGGCAAAAGTTTGATGAAAGTCAAGGGGACTCCCAGAAAAAGAAGGAGGAATAACTTACTTCCCTTTAACAAGCAGTGGCCATGATTTATTGCTGCAAAGTACTTAATGTATAATGTTAATGGTTGAATATCAGTTATGTTTTCATTTCACTAAATTTTCACTTTCTAGAAGCTGTGGGACAAAGTGGATGGAATGGACAAGGCCACTCACTCTGTGATTTCTACTTGGGGCTTTTTGTTCATATTCTTTTATTTACCCATGATTTTCAGGAGATTGACTTTCTGCTCTCCTTTTTCTCCCTTCATCCACCGCTTTCCTTTCTTTGGAAAGGGTTATATATGAGAGTTTGTTGAAGAAGTTCAGTGATTCTGAAGTAAGGGGCAAGAAGGGACAGTTAACTAAAGTGCACTTTATTTCTTTGAAGCCTTTTTAAAAAAGAAATGGGGGTGGAATGGCTTGAATCCCCTATTGCCTTGGAGGGCACTTAGCGTGGCTGAAGTATGACATATTTCCCATTGGGGAAAGGAGAATTTCTCCTAGAGGGTGGCAAAATGCCCTTGCCTGGTGTTTCTATTTTAGGCATCTCCTCTTTATTCCTTCTACTCAAGGTGCCTCCTACACATAACTTCCGATCCGTTCTCCTCAAGACTCCCCTCTTTACAAATTATCACTCCTCTTTTCTAAACTCCTCTCCTGCTCAGATCCATACAACATTTGCAAGGGTAGACTGAATTATATAAGCAAATGTCCTTTGTTTATAATTCACCTGTGTCTTCTGAAAACTAGTATCATTAAGAATCCTGCTGGCAGCCAGAATAACTGAAGTTTGGGGCTGGGACTAGAGATTGGCCATCAGGCCTCTTGGGATTCCAGCTCCCCTCTGCCAAGTTCAGCCTTGCTAAATGGCACAGGACAAAACTGACTTTCTTTGGGCCTCAGTTTCCCCTCCCCTCCATGAAATGGAAAGAATACTACTTTTTCTTGTTGGTCCAGCATTGCTGGACATGAAGTATAGTCGTTGTTGTATTGGGTGATGTGTACAAAATTGCAGAAGCTCACTGCCTACAAGAGGAAATAAGGGAGATAGTGGAGGAGAGGGACAGAAGGAGCAATTGTTTGGTGTAGATCCACCCCTTCCTGCCTTCCTCTCCTCATCCCTCATGTTTCTGGTTTGGTGAGTTCTTCATACCACCCATAATGCTTTGCATTGGTGCAGGCTGGGAAGGGGGTGTATGGTCTCACAAGTTGTTGTTGTTTTTTGCATGCTTTCTTAATAAAAAGAAAAAAAGAAGAATGTTTATGTTTTTGTTTTTTTAAAATCTTACTAGTGTCAAGTTTCTCTTAGCCAGGGTAGGAAGGGAGAAATGTGAAAGCATTTGGTTTTACTTGGCATTTAGCCCCTCCGCCCACTGTTGGGATTAATTGGCTTGCCGTGTAATTTTTTGTAAGATTGATGGGAAGAAGAATTAAGAGCACCCCTTTAACATTCCTCTTTTCAAATGCTATTAAATATAGTAAAATACTGGGAAAGTCAATCACCGCTTGCAGTTTGGTATGTGGACTAGGGCCACCTTACTTGAATCCTGGGGTATTTTAAAGATTTAAGATACTACATTTTGGGGAAGAGTTGGACCCCAGTCTGAGACTTCTGGAGATGAGATAGTACAAAAATAGTTATAGGTACTCACCAGAGTTTTTCTTCATAAACAAGGGAATTCTAATTGTTGGAATTTCTTCAGAATACGTTTCCAAGATAAATAGAACTCTTAAAAGGAATCCAGAGAATGAATTGCCAACAGTTCACTGTGCATTGAATCTTATAACTATGCCAAGTTTATTCACCCTAATATCGTATACATTAGCCCTAGTAGTTTGGAATTTATACTCAGGGTCTTGTGGGATGTGTTGAGGTTTCCAGAAGCCTGGCTAATGGCCATTGTAGCAGCTCTACGGTCACCCACTATGAGATTTATTGGCCGAATATTTATAGGTTATGATATATTCTGAGTGTCAACCAGTTACAAGTATCCATGAATCTCTGAGCCTTGCAAGGAACCATGAGATAAAAAGCATTTATTTATATCAGATATATAAGCAAATTAAATTGGAAAGGTAGCAATGCAAATTTTACATCACATCAGACAGTATTACCTTACAACTGACAGAATTCCTAGTGATTTGAAATTTTTCTGCATAGAACCTCATAACAAATTTGTAGTCTAGACTCACCTCAACTACTGAACAAATAATAATGCCTTGCAAGTCTAAAACGTCTCATTTTCTATTTTTTATGATTAAGTCATTGTATATTATCAGTTTAGATACGGCCACATTTAAAAGTTTATACACAGAAAAATGAGTATGTGGTAGGGAATTGGGTAATGCTTTTATAAATAAAAGAGGGCTAGAAGGAAAGCTATATAAATGTTTGAAATGGACAGATGGATTTCAAGAAAAATGAGTAGTCCAAGGTGAGAGAGAAGCCTGGGCATGAACAAATTAAAATATAATGGTTATTAGTAAATACTGTGTATGCTGGACAAACAAAAATATAGAGGTGTTTGGATAAAAATCTTCATCTTTCAGAACAAGGTCATTTTGTCATGTCTAAAAAAATAACATAAGCACATAATTTAGAAATATCTAAAAGAATTGCAAGGGTTGTGAATGGGAAATGGGAGTGAGAAGAGAAGAGCAGTTGGGCATTAGGCAGAGTTGGGCAGGAGACATCTTACATTTCATTATAAGTCTCTTAGTTCAATTTTAATTCTTTTTAAACTATGTACATTGTTTAACTTTGATAAGAAGAAAGATTAAAAAGCCCAAAAGATATATTTGGTAATTTTGGCATGAAAGATACACATATATAGTCATGTTTCTCAGAGTTGAATGGTATTTCTGGTTCAGTGTTAAGTCATTTTGCAGTGGATTAAATAATTGCTGCTCCATCCTCCACCCTTTTTCTCCTTTCATTTGATTTGAAGTCTTTAGAAAGTATTATTTTGGAGCAAGAGGAGGGGAGTAATTCAAATCTTATGAAATTAGAGGTTATTTGAGGCCGAAAGTCTGACATGGAAGAATATTTAGAGGCAGGGGAGGAATAAGAGAAAGAGCTTAAGAAAAGGAATGGAACATAGATGGTTCTAACAGTCGGCAGGTAGAGTAAACAGAACTCCCCCAAACAGCAGCTTACATAACATTTTATGAGTACGTTTTTAGATGCATTAGTAGTGTGTCTTCACACAATAAATGCTTACTTGGTTGTAAAGGCAGACCCTCGCAATCCCTATGTCCTGTACCCAGGGGTGTTCCAGGTACCAGGCATCTGGCATCTCACTTTGCTCCAGACTCCGTCTCATGTTGTTGCGCACCATCGAATGGATTCTGACTCACAGCAACACTATCGGACAGAGTAGAACTGCCCCACAGGGCTTCTGTCCTCTTCATGGGAGCAGATCTTTACAGAGCCACTGGTGGGTTTGAACCGCTGACCTTGCGGTTAACAGCTGAGCACTAAACCATTACACTACCAGGGCTTCTCTTCAGTCTAATAATAGCTATTTTCATAGACTTTTTTTTTTTTTTTGGTTGGAGGGAGGCAACCTCTTTTCACTTTAAAATCACCACCAAGATAAAGCTGTAAAATAAATCATCACCTTTCACACAGGTAGACCTAGAAGAAATGAGTTTACATCGACTCTAGAAGGGGATTTAGATAATACTAAAGAAAAAATTTAATGATGGAAACATCATTTAAAAACAGACTAGTTTCTCATTTAGCTCACATGGTTTAGTTTTGGACAGAAATAGACTTTTACAATAATTCTCGAAATTATCATGCATCAGAAACAAGACGGCTTGTTAAAACAAGAGGGCTTGCTGGGCCCCACCTCGCAGAGGTTCCGATTCTGCAAATCTGGGGTGGTGCTTGAGAGTTGCATTTCTGACAAGTGTCCAAGTGATGCTGGTGTCAGTCTGGGCACCACACTTTGAGAACCACTAGACTAAAATGCTGCTTATGATTCTTTGATGGTTTCTGAACCCCCCTGCTCACTACATCTCTCATCCTTTTAGAAACATGTTGTACTGGCTGAATACTTAAGAACCTCTGCCTGGATTGGCAGTTCCATGTTTTCAAACAGCTGTACTGATACTGTTTCTTTTTAAAGAGATTTGGTTTTGGGAGCAGCTGGTAGAGTGTGTGAGCTCCTCACTGAAGGCTGCCTCCAGAATGCCCTGCATGGACTGCCTTGCTTTCTTCCTAAAATCTTTCCCCAGGAGGGCATAGAGGAAGGGATTGAAGCAACTATTGGCAGACGCTAGAGCAATGGACACATGGTCCCAGGATGCCAAAGCTTCCCCAAAGGGAGTTTCCATATCAATAAACAATGATAGGACTCCAAATACATGGTATGGAGTCCAGCAGACAAGAAAGACAACCACTACCACCGTGGCTACTCGCAAAGTTTTGCCCCGAGACTTGGAGAAGCGTCCCTGTCGAATTCGGAAGATAATGAGGGTATAACAGACCACCATGATAATAAAGGGCAGCAGGAAACCCACTACTAGCCTAGTGATGGTTATTGCTACCAGGGGTGTTGGCACTTCATTGTCATGGATGAATTGGCTTGAATTACCAATGTAATTGTAATCATATGTGTGTAAGGAATTGCTAGAAGCACTGGGGAAAAGCTCTAAATCAGTAGAGAGAAGAGGATCAGAGTAATTCAGTGAGTCAGTCCTTCGATCTTCACTGGGAAACCTATGCAAATCACCAGGAATTCTAGGTAAGAACACATCAGCAGATGTAGATAAATTATAATAGTTATATTGACTGGATAATCTAGATAAATTCCTAGGGAGTGAATCTCCAGAAGGTCTTTGGAATGTCTGGGCACGGAAATCAGTGGAAGTTGTCAATGGATTCATTGTGGGGGCTGTCCAAGGATGATCATTTGTTTGGAAAGAGGAAGAATCTAACCTATCACCCATTTCCCCAGGCAGCTGAACAATGGAGTAGTCAAGAGACCCGTTTTCCAGTAGATGAAAGGTAAAATCTGAATAATCTAATGAGCTGTAGCCACCAAAATTGTAGCCACACATATTATGGTTGTCTACAGTGAACATTTCCCGGTATAGGAACACAGGTATACACATTGCAAAAGCCACCACCCAGATACATCCACAGATGGCGAAGGCTGTCCTCACATTGCGGTGATTCTGGCACCAGATTGGCTTGAGCACTAGAAGACAGCGGTCCAGGCTGATGGCAGTAAGCAGGAAGACGCTGGCAAACATGTTGAGGATGATGATGGAGGGAATGAGCTTGCAGAGGAGCCAGCCATAGGGCCAGTGCCCTTGAAGAGCCAAGTGAGCAAGGGAGAAGGGCAAGGAGAGGCAGCAGAGAAAGTCCGCCACGGTGAGGTGGAGAAACCAAACTGTGTTCACTGTTCGCTGCATCTTTAGGCCTGCCACCCACAGCACCAGCCCATTGCCTGGCAATCCCAATAAGAAAGTGAGGCCCAGGATGACCATGGAGAGAATTATTAGAGGTTCATTTGAAGGCTGTGAGAGTAGGTCAGTTGAGTTGGTCTCAGTAGAGAAAGACTCCATTGCTAAGCTTCTGCAAAATGATGAAAGAAAATGTTAAATCTATCAGTATCTTTAAAGAAGTGCATATTCTTAGAATTCAAACCTTTTCCCATGTAATGATGTAGAAACACAAAACCAGAAGGACCTTACACTGTTTTAGCTTGTATTCCTTGACTTCACACTGGACCACACAAAAACATTCTCTGATAATAAACAAAACATGGCACATACACACAATGGAATACTATGCAGCCATAAAGAATAGTGATGAATTCTCAAAATATATTGTAACATGGATGAATCTGGAGTACATTATGCTGAGTGAAATAAGTCAATCACAAAAGGACAAATACTGTATGATCTCACTATTATAAAAAGACAAGAATAGGTATACATGTTGAAACCAATGATCACTGATGGTTACCAAGGACAGGTGGGGGTAGGGATGGAGAGGCATTGCTCTCTAGATAGTAGACACTTGTTATTTCTGGTGATGGGAAATATAACACCAAATGTGGGTGAAGTGTGCACAGCTTGACCAAGGTAAATGATGTCACTGAGAAGTACGCAAGAAAAAAGGACATTTTTAGTAAATGCTATAACATATACAACTGTGCAACAACAAATAGGAGTGTGGGTACATGTGTACATATATATGCATACAACTGTATAGGTATGTATATGTGTGATATATATGGGCATATATAAATGTATCTATATGGATCTGTACATATATAAGTGTATGCATCCATGTATGTTCATATATACAATAAAGCACATATGGGGCACAAACATGGATGCTTCTTAGACTTAACCAAATACCTCATAGGATTGGATTACAGGGTCCGAAGATTTAGGACCATAGTCTGATGGGACAACTCAACTGGCATAATATAGAATGTAAAATCTACGTTCTACAGCCTAGTTTGCTGAGTAATGTCTAGGGTCTTAAAAGCTTTCAAGCGGCCATCTAAGACACATCTATTGGTTTCTACATGTCTGGAGTAAAAGAGAAAGAAGGAAACCAAAGACTCAGAGAAGAAACTAGTCCATAGGACTAATAGTTTACATGAACAATGACCTCATCTACCCTGAGACCAAAACAACTAGATGGTGCCCAGCTACCAATAACTGACTGCTCTGATTAGGAACACAATAGATGGATCCTGACAGAATGGAAACAAAATGTGGAACAGAACTCAAATTCTTAAAAAGTCCAAATTTACTAGACCCGTTGAGACTGGAGGACTCCCCAAGACTATCGCCCTGAGATATTCTTTAAGCCTTGAACCAAAACTATTCCATGAGGTCATTGTTTAGCTAAATAACAGATTGGCTCATAAAATAAACGATATCATTCATGAGTACTGTGGTCCTTTAAAAAATCGTGTATGAGACTAAATGGTCAACTCAAAAGCAAAGATGAGAAGTCAAGGGGGCAAGGGGCCTAGATTACTGGAAACAGAACAACCAGAATGAAAATAATGAGAAAGCTGACACACTGTGAAAAATGTAACCATTGTCACTGAACGAATTGTATAGAAATTGTTGAGTGGGAACCTAATTTTCTGTGAGAACTTTCACCGAAAACACAATAAACATTTTAAGACAAAAAATTCTCTGACAATTTAAAAGCTACTGTATTGATTTAAGTCTATATCAAAATAATAACCTCATTTGGAAGTCCATATCAATGGAAATTACCCCTCACTTTTGCACTTCCAATCTTTTCATTCTCCACTGGTTCCTTTTTCAGCTAACTGATATTCCGTATTGTTATCATTAGGTTTTGTCAAGTCAGTTTCAACTCATAGTGACCCTATGTACAACAGAGCAAAACACTGTGCAGTCCCGCACCATTCTTACAATTGTTGCTATGTTTCAGCCCATTGTTGCAGACACTGTGTCAATCCATCTTGTGGAGGGTCTTTCTCTTTTTTGATGACCATCTACTTTACCAAGCGTGATGTCGTTCTCTAGGGACTGGTCCCTCCTGATAACATGTCCCAAGTATGTAAGATAAAGTCTCGCCATCCTTGCTTCTAAGGAGCATTCTGGCTGTCCTTCTTTCAAGACAGATTTGTTCATTCTTCTGGCAGCCCATGGTATATTCAGTATTCTTTGCCAACACCATAATTCAAAGATGTCAATTCTTCGGTCTTCTTTATTCATTGCCCAGCTTTTTCATGCATATGAGGTGATTGAAAATATCATGGCTCGAGTCAGGCACACCTTAGTCCAGGGTGACATCTTTGCTTTTTAACACTTTAAAGAGGTCTTTTGCAGCAGATTTGCTCGATTTTTTTCCCCCACTGTCCAAAAATATTCTTTACAGCACCTTTGCCCACAACAATATCCAATCTAGGACCACACTTTGTATTAGTGTTATATCTCTTAAGTCTCTTTTAATTTTAGCATAGTTCCTCTTTTTCAAAGACATGGGCTTGTTTTGAGGCCTGTTGTGCTGGCCACTCACTTCTTAACCTTGTATAATTTGTTCTCTGTCCACATGATTCTGCTAAAATTACTCTAAATAGCAAACCTAAACATCTTTTTCTCTGACCTCATCCTCCTCAATATAATATTCATCATTTGATATATTGACTCTGTAACACTTTTTCTTGGCCTCTGTGACATTAAACAAACAAACAAAAAACCAAGCCCGTGGTAGAGTCAATTCTGACTCATGGCGACCCCATGTGTGACAGAGTAGAACTGCTCCATAGGGTTTTCTTGGCTGTAATCTTTTTTTTTTTTTTTAAATATTTTATTGTAC